GATATTTAAGAGACGCATTATACTTTGCATGATGTAGTTTTAGCTTTCATTTTGGTTTAACTGGCTGCTTCATATTATCTTGCATACATGGCTTTTTTGCAGTTATTCGAGTTCATGGTAGGACATATACTGTTTGCACTGAATTTTAGCTTCTTGGTAAATCTGATTCGTTTTAGAGACGATTCAGAGTACAACGACGAAAACATTGCATCACAGTGGGACCAGAAACACCTTCAAATTCTTGCGCGCAAATGCGTGGTGTATGATTACAAAATGCAGAAGATGACTCAGACCGTCGGCGACGATGTTTGCAGTTCGAAAAACACGTTGCACTTGCTGCTGTCAAGGTCTACTGCCCATGAAACTCCACTCTCGTTGGAACAGGTACGAGCCGCACTGTTGTAACTTTTAGTGTAAGGTCAGTACTTTGTCATTTGGCACATTTATGAGTAAGATATGACTTTATTCAAATTACACGCCAAACAGAGTCTTGCGTACAAGACAATGGTTTCGGCTGATGGTACAAAGAAATTGTTAAAGAACTGAAGTGGGTCGTTAACTTATCTTATAGAGGAGAATGGGCAAAATGATTGCTGTGAAGATATCTAATGAACTGGTAAAGTTTGCATGTGATACAGATAGAGAAGAAGACATTCGTCGGACGATCTGCTACATTCTACCATATATTTTTAACACATTGATGAATGTTTCGAACGAAGAAAACGAATCAATCAAGCCACTCTCGTCAGAATTAGCCATTATGACACAGCTGGCAGACAAAGGTAATTACTGGGTAATTTTGGACAAAGCGGAATATGTACAAAAGGCTACGCAGTTCTTAGCAAATCTAAATGAAAAATCTGAACAGACTTTTGTAGCCATTACGGAGGAAGTTGGACACTCCGTGGTTTTGTCACATCAAACATAAGTCAGACCTCGCGGCACGCTTCTCTTGTTTGGCAGAGATTCACAAAGAACAGATCCTTTGCGGTAAATTAATGACCGTATGAAAAGCCCCTCTTACAGCTTAGCAAAGTAGTTAGCCAAAGTCTTAACAGGTAACGTTCATAAACGATTCGTTTCAGAACGAAGCTAAGCAACATGGCAGTTAACCGCGATGAAGTCATGATTTGCTTTGATGGAGTTTCGCACTTCATTGCGTAGATATTAAATAAGTAGCATTGTGCATTGTAGAAACATTTATTACCGATACTGGCTGGTGCGATCGCGCAAAGATGAACCAACTGGATATACTTAGTTACCTCAAATTGTATGTGCAAACCATCTGGTTAACTTTCTAGGCAGAAAATACATGCGTGTTGGACGTATTTACACACGGTACACCTATTGGTTCTCAGATCTCTTGGATCGTTGCCAGCATATTCATGAAGAATTTGATCAAAAGGGAGACTTTCAGTTACTATCATGCATCTCCAAAAACATGGTTGTTGTTGTGCCATCGTTTTCAAAGACTAGCAGTGTTTAAGCAATACAGTAATCCAGATTTATGATGTCTGACCTTGAGAAATGACCAAGAAAGCGATGGAAATACGTTGATTGCACCTTTGTCATAATGAAAAACAGTATCAGCAGTTTTCTTTAGATACCTAAATACGGTGAATCTATCGACTCAGTCGCAATAAAAGTCGAAGAGGACAAAACTTCGATGTTTTTAGGCTGCAAAATTAGTGGATAATATGATTAATCACGAAAAACTGCGGTTTATGGTCAGCCTATGCACACGGAACACTGCCTGCAGTTTGATTATGATCATATATCATGCCTGGAAATAGGGGTGATCAGAAGCTTATTTGACAGAGCCCTGCGACTATATCGGACACAACAGAACCTCAACGTCGATTATATCTGATAAAGAAGATGATTATGAAAGAAGTGTTGTGGACGTATGGGTAACCGCAATAGTTAATCAGTGAATAAAATCAGCAACAGGGGCAACGAACGATTATACTCACTCTAATACAAACTGTCTGCATTCCTTTTGTTCCCGTCATTGCAGAGTCGAAAAGGCGAGTACTGGAAGAGAAGAACATCAGGACAGTCTTCAGATCAGAGACAAACTAGGATTTCGTTTGACGAAGACGAAGGAAGAAAGGAGAACAGCAAGATAATAAATGGTTAAAATGACGAATGTTATTTATTCAATGAATCGCACAAAATGCCTACTACTGTATATTGCCGTAACCACTATACGGTTGTGAACTAGAATGACAGAGCACAAGAGAGTAGCTTCCATCACTAACCTAACTACCGAACAGAAGCGACGCCTGGAAAAATGCTCGGCAGCGTCAGTTCAGAATCTTTCTTCCGGACACAGCATCGACTTAACTACCCACCCATAGTAAGAAAGGGAAACAACTACAAAGAGTGCTTTGTTGCAGAATCGCTCTTCATCCAAACAAGTCTTAGCATGGTGAACAGAATGAATGAGTTTATATCTGACCGTCATTGCGAAACCGTCAGGAAAGAGCAAAAGACAATTATCGTTACATCTCAACCATCTCACGTTATCGTGTTTTTGTATATTATATTGTTTACAGTTGAAAATTTTCCTAACATCAACCGAAGTCTTGTTCCTTTGACAAAACCTTTAGCCACATGTAATGTGAATAATAAATCATATCTCACTTGTGAATCAACCTACGGTGTCAAGTACTTACATACATGTTAGCACATTTATTTCCATCTTCCAGGGAAACAGCATGTACTGATTTTTGAAATCGATTGTAAGCTAGTGTTTGAGAGTTTTTGTCAGTGAAAACTTGATTGGAGTTGCAGACATGCAGCGTTGCAACGTGTATGAATGTGCATATAGCATATTGCATATATCGTTAATATGTCAGCGGATATCCAGTATTTTTCATTCATATCATCGTCATTTGACTTTATTTCTCATACTTCTTTGTCGTCTATGCCTCGTTATTCTGTAGGTATGCCAATTGTTGTAGTTTTTAGTTACGAGTCATCACCTTGATGCTTCTTATACACATATTCATTTATGTCATGACGTCAAGCGCCACGAGGTCAAAATCGCTTGTTCCTGAATATGCAGCAAATCACGTAAGCAGGCAATGCTCCATGATTTTCAAATATCGACTCCTGGAGCGTCATTGACGATGTATCGTATCAGGTTCTAGCCAATGCAATAAAGCATCAAACCACGCAAGTGCTGTAATGCCATCGATCCGTGATCTGTGGCTCTAGAAGCAAGCAGCAACAGTGCTGTATGCTGTGCCAGCCGCATTTGCTTAGATATGCGCTTGTTGTTGGATAAATTAAGCTGTAGAATATATTACTGTGCATCTGCATATAAGCTCAGAATATCTCTCTGGCCAAATACTTTAAAGTTTTATTTTTTCTGATTGACGGTACCTTGCTTGATTTACCAAGTGGTTAAGATATTCTTTGCGACACCTGTTTATATTTATTTAATGAGTTTTTGATGAACGTATACATTTTCATTATTAATTATTATTTGGTCTTGGTATTATTGCAGGTTTTGGCTGGAAACATTGCACCTCCGTTGCACGATGCACCGATCGATATCAGATCCCGTCAGGTTTTGTATAACTACCGTTGTCGACTTGGTGATGTTTCTCACACGGACGTCTAAGTCATGTTACAGTTTGGAAACTGTTGTTGACCGTCGGGGTGATTTTGTCAAAATCGACAGGTTTTATCGTCTTTTGTTGTCAATGCCGTCGTTGACTTTTAGCGACTTATGCGATGCGATTATTTGGAGTCAGTTACGATCTCAGGGTCGGGTTCCTTATGAAAAAATTTATTTTTATGTTCAACCAAACTTTTCCCTTTCAGTTATCATATGCTCTTCACTGAGGTGAATACTTCGATTTCTTCGAATGATCTTGCCTTAATATCACAGTTTCGATTAAAACGAATTTTTGGTCCTGAATTGCTCACCTTCCTTGGCCTTTGTTTGATTCACTTATTTGCTGATCTCGTAGTGAAATGTAATAAATTTTGTACCCTTGTGCAAAAGTTTTTCGTGAGATCACGAGCGTTCGATCGATCGACGATTATTTTTGATGCTCAGGTTCGTTCCAATATTTGTTCCTGTTCTTAACGTGGCGTTATAGCCGGGAAATGACGTACTTTACCTGTTGGGAGGAGTTCGCGAAAGCCGCCGAGAAACTGTACGTCAGCAGCGCCAATCGTTGTCGCTTAGTGACTAAGTACTCGCACCAGCTTGGAAAGTTAGTGGTGAAAATAACCGACGATGCAACTTGCTTGCAGTACAGCACAGAACACGCGCAAGACGTGAAAAAGTTGGAAAAGCTGACCAGCAACCTGATGCGGCAAATGGCGTGCAGGGAACATAATTAAACTTATCGACGTGATTTGTTGTTTGTATAGCGAGAGCAGAAACTGGCTTTTCACTGTTGCGGCGTTGTCGAAAGTATTTTGAAATTTTCGGTGGCAGTATCGCGCTTTTAACCGTCTTTTAAACTAATAATAAAAATTTCATTCAACGACGAAAAAAACAATTTTTGTTTGTATTCGATCGTTTAGTTTCTCACGACGCGAATATACGAGCCTCGTGCTAATTAGAATGTGTTTGTGCTGATGGATACTCGATTGTTTGGGCGATTTTGTTCTTGAGGCGGTCTGTACTTTTAAATGTGTGACCAAGTGTGATTGTAACAATTTTGAACGTAGTGCCAGGTCGAACGTAAGTGTAGGCCGATGCCGGGTTTTTGTCTGTTGAGCATAGTGGAACACTATTTCAGTGGAACATCAGCCAGTGAGCTTTCTAGTGGTAGGCAGTAAGAACGAAGTCAAATAATTGATGTAGATAACCATCTGCTATGACGTGATTCGAACTGCCGACTTGTCGATATCGCGTAGTCATCAATGGAATTAAACTTGGTTGGTTTAAACCACACTTTGGCATTAAACTGTTTACCATATGCTGTATTTAGTGTCCTGAACCATGAGTCATTCAAACAGCTAAGCATGACTATGGGCCCAGAATCAGAAACCTGAAGTATTGCTTAAATCAAGGCTGAAGTCTGAAGAATAGGCTGTTCTTATTCAAGTCAGATTTTATTCCTCTCCTCATCTTTGGTCGTGAGTCATGAACCATGGTTGAAAACTTTGATCCCTCGTGTAGCGGCTGAAATAATTTTCTGAGAAGAATCGTTGCACTGTATTGTCTCGACAGAATCAAGAAGTTCAGATATCTGAGACACTTTTGATGTATAGCCGCTGCTTCTCCAGATAAAGCAGTCAAGGGGTTGTGACTCAGCTTATCATCCGCCGAAGCTCAAACGCTAGCATCGGATTGGGAACGTTTCAGCCATTGGCTCCATATCTGTCTGTTCGATGCGAATGGGTTTTCATCGAACTGACTGACTAAATGCCGCATGAAGGCTTATCCAAGACTGCCATAAACTTTGTTTTCGGCGATTTGCATGCATTCTAATCGAAGGAATGGTTTTATTTACCGTGTCATCGATTTTGAGGTTTTCTTAATGGCCGTTTACTCTCTCTTTGAGACACTCTAATGTCCCTCTAGTCCAGAGATTGTCGTTGTTTCTCGCAAAGTCTCCTGCCCATTGCTATTTCAACTTCTTTACTGGAACAATGCTGGTGTCGTTCTGCTTTTGGATTCCTCTTTGGAGTTCTTTTGGTGACCTTGAGAGAATCGGAATGTCATCTACAAACCGCAGTAGATTAGTTAGTGCTCATTTATGTTCAGCCCCTGATTTTCCTAATGGAATGTCTTGGAAACTTTGGAAGCCTCTTATGAGACTACAGTGAATGACCTAAATGATATTGCGTCAGATCCCCTTTTCGATTTTAAACCTGCTCGTGCTTTCGTGAAGCTTCACACTGGCAGTTGCATTCTTGTAGAAGATGGCGATCCGGTTTATGCATCTTTTCCTGATTCTGTGAC